CAATTGTACACGTTCATTTTACATTTGTATTAATTTTTTAAATCCAAATAAAAAACATAATACAATTTCAAGAATTTGTTTCGTATATGGAAAAATAAGTGAAATTCGAAAAAAAAAACATAAAATCAATTGTTTTTACGTGATTTCTGAAAATATGTATCGTCAATTGAAAGAAAAAACATTTTGTTCAAAAGGTTAATTTGTGAATCATTTTTCATAATCGAACGAAATAGAGTTGAGCTAAAACAAAAAATTGTGCAGGTGGATCTTATGAAAACCCTAAGAAGTCAGAAAAATTCGTCTTTTATAGGTGAAATTGATTGTTCACGACCTTTAATCATTTTGACCGATTTAGATCTTTCAATCACCGATTTCGTGCATGTATGTTGTGTTAGTGTATATACTGAAAGCTTGACTTTTTGCGTATTTATACTATTTTTTGTTGAATGAGCCTATGACCGTGTGGAGTGGCAGTGCATTAAAAAGACTATGGAGAAGATGGGGTTTGCTACTGAGTTTATAAAGTGGATTCTAGCATGTATTTCTACTTCTTCATTCTCAATTCTAGTTAATGGCAAAGCTGTTGGGTACATTAGACCTACAAGGGGCTTAAGGCAGGGTGATCCAATCTCACCCTACCTCTTCCTTCTTGTGTCAGAAATCTTCTCCTCTCTCATTCAACTAGTTGCTGATAGAGGTCAGTTCAGAGGCCTTAGAATTGCAAAGGGTTGCCCTGTGGTTACTCATCTATTATTTGCAGACGATTCTTTGGTCTTCTGCAAAGCAGACCAAGAACAAGCTGCGAGACTTCTGCATATTCTTCAAATTTACCATCATTTTTCTGGGCAGAGAGTGAACTTAGCCAAACCCACTGTGTTCTTCAGTCGAAACACCCCTCAAACTCTCAAACAGTTTGTGTGTTCTATTCTAAATGGGGTTCAAAATCATAATTCAACAAGATATCTGGGGTTGCCTTTGGGAATTGGAAGGTCTAAGAAGGAAGCCTTTGAGTTCATCATCCAAGCTGTGAGGAAGAGACTGCTCAGTTGGCAAAACACCTATCTGTCATCTGCAGGCAAGGAGGTATTGATAAAGGCTGTGGTCAATGCTTGCCAGTTTTTGCTATGAGTTGTTTCAGATTGCCTGTCATTATATGCCATGAACTGAGTAGGATTACAGCCTCCTTTTGGTGGAGCAAGGGAGCAAAACAAGAAAATAGAATTCATTGGAAGCAATGGAATAAGCCTACTGTTCCTAAAGAAGTAGGGGGGCTGGGACTTCATGACTACAAGATTTTTAATGAGGCTTTAATTCTGAAACAGTTATGGAGAATTACTACTAGCCCTGAGCTTCTGATGAGCAGGCTAATCAAGGCTAAATACTTCCCAAGAACCTCTATTTTTGAAGCAAAAAAAGGGGGATCTGCATCTTGGCTATGGAACAACTGGGTAGACACCATTCCCATTTTTGCTAAAGGTCTGAGAAAAGAAATCAGAAGTGGCAGAGAGACTAAGATCCTTGACCATAGTTGGGTGCCTCACCTCAATCACAGACATCCCCAACCCTGCAGAATGTAGAAGAAGCCCCCATTTGGGTCAGTGATCTTATTAATGAAGATGGAAAAAGCTGGGACAGTAATCTGTTAACTAGAGTATTCTCAGAGGATGACAAAAGGGCCATTCTTGCAGTGGAATCTCTAAAACCTGACTTGCCTGATAGATGGTTATGGAGCTTTGACAAGCAAGGGAAGTTTAAAGTGGCAGGATCTTACAAGTACTTGATGGAAGGAAAAGTGTTGGGGATGGACTTACCTGAAAGTAGTACAACAGGTGCCAGAGACAAAAAAATCAGAGCAAGAAGCTGGAAGATGAGAGTTAAAGGGAAACTGAAGCACTTCTTATGGAAATGCTTCAATGGGATATTGCCTGTTAGTGTAAATGTAGCCAAGAAGGGTATTCAAGTGGATGTCATTTGCCACCTCTGTGGTGAACAAGAAGAGACAATAGAACATCTGTTTTTTACCTGCAGGAGAGATCAAAGGGTGTGGAAATTAGCACTTGTTAAATGGGATGGGGTGATGCACAGTGAGAGTTCCTTTAGTCTATGGTGGTGGCAGTTTGTTCAACAGATAATTCTGTTATCTCTGAGGACCGCATTCAATTAACCACTTACATCTTGTGGTGGTTGTGGCGGTCTCGAAATTTGTGGTTGTTTGAGAAGGCAAGGATTCCGGAGGAAATGGTGGTCAAAGGTGCATGGAAGGAGTAGATTGAGTTTGCAGGCAGTAGCTCGAGGTTGGAGCTAGAGTATCAGTAGCTAGTTTTATTTGTTGTTTTGTTTCAGTTTTATGTTTCTTCCTTTTCTGGTTTTTTTTTCCTTTGCTTTGTTGGGTGGGGCTGTTTGGTTGGTTTTAGGTGGATTTACAACTTTAAGTTTCGAGGATCTGTCCTTGCTTGAAGTTTGTAGTTTGGTTTGGATCTAGATCACTCTTTGAGTGTATCTCTGTTTTTTTGTTTGTGGCGGCTTGCCCGGTTTGTAGTATTGTACATTGTTTCGTTTGTTCTTTTGGTTTAATGGAGATTATCTATCGCTTTGGAAAAAAAAAGAATTACATTTAACATAGAATATTTTTTGATACTTCTTACATATATATGTTACCTCATATTTTTACTTTATAATTATTAGTTAATATTGTTTACTCTTCTCTTTAATTTATAATTATTATTTAATAATATTTCCGTGCATCGCACGGGTACGCACTAGTTGAGATAATTGGTTAACGGATCAAATAAACCAAATATTTTGATTCAATTTTAGTTTGTTTTGTAACAGTCATTAAAAATGCTTGCACTACGGGTGCACAATATTGTTAAACAAATTGCATGTAATAAAATTATAAATATTTAAATATTTATTGTAATAGAAATAATAAATTATTACAGTTATTTCAGTTAATTGAGATAATTGGTTAACGGATCAAATAAACCAAATATTTTGATTCAATTTTAGTTTGTTTTGTAACAATCATTAAGGCTGTGTTTGGTAAAACTAGCTGATAAGCTGGCTGATAGCTTATTAGTATTTTTCGAGCTTATAGCTTATAGCTTATGATTTATAGCTGAAAAGCTAGCTTATGTGATAAAAATGTTTGGTAAAATTAGCTGATAAGCTAGCGAAAATAAAAAATTCAATAAGCTTATTTGAAAAGCTACCAAACGAAGCTTATTAAATAAGATCGAGCTTTTTAAATAAGCTCGCCCTACCAAATGGAGCTTATTTAAATACAGAGAGCTTATAAGCTAATTAAAATGGCTATAAGTTAGCTTATTGGTCTACCAAACATAGCCTAAAAATGCTTGCACTACAGGTGCACAATATTGTTAAACAAATTGCACATGAATGACATCGGAATTCACAATATAAACGAGACTGGCCGAACTAAAAATTGTAGTTTGAATTTTTATATTTTGGTTCTATTATCTCCTTTTTTTAAAAATTAAAAAAATAAAATACTGTTATTTAGATTCGGTGTCTGCTTTATTTTTTAAGAATTGAAATAACCGTACTATATAAAAATAATATTATCATTTTATATTTTTATGTTAAAGTATTCTTTATTTTCAGCATAAAAAAGTATATTAAATACTCCCTCCATTTTAAATTAAATGTCGTTTTGACTTTTTATATTCATCTATTTTGCTATGTATCTAGATAATAATAATATTTAGATACATAGCAAAATGGATGAATCAAAAAAGTCAAAACGACATATAATTTAAAATGGAGGTAGTACAAATTAATTGAACCATGTAACCATAAGTGTTGAACCAACTGGTTGTTCTCGATCCTAGTGTAGAAATAAATTCTAATTAACTTTTGATTATTTATAAATTTGCCCCATAAACTCAGTTGTAATATATTAAGTGCTTGATTGCCATGTTTTAAATATTGTACCGTACCGGCCGGAAATACCGGTAATACCGGATACCGGCCATTGGTAAGGTACAAATACACTCAAAATACCAGATTTACAGTTATACCGGTTTGTACCGGGATCATACCGTAAAAACCGCAAAATAGCGGTTCAAAATACCGGTTAATTAAAAAAATAAGAAATAAAAAAAAATAATTTAAAAAAAAAAATAATTTAAAAAAATAAAATTTAAATTGTTAAAATTGAAAAGTTAAAATTAATAATTATGGTCATTTATTTTTTTACTTTAGTGTATTTGGTATTAAATATTTGTATGTATATTGATATTTATTATTATATTTGCTAATTCGGTAATACCACCGATATTACCGGTCTGACCGGTAATACAGCGTACCGATGGCTAGACCGGTATGACCACCGATACAGTATTTAAAACACTGCTTGATTGTTTATGAAATAATTTGTTCAAAATGAGTTATTTTGGTTAACCATAGTTATTTTTTTTTTTAAAAAAAAAGTGTATGGTTAGTTGTTAGTGGAATTTTTAAAATATATTAAAATAATATTTAAAATAAAATGATTTAAAATTGATTTGATGTAAAAGTAAGAGATAAATGATTGAAAATGATAGATAGTTAAAATTATGTAAGTGGATGAATAGTTAATTAAAATTGATGTGATGTGTAAGAATAATTGGTTTGTATTATTTAATTATATGAATATTAAAGATGGTGAGTTTGAGTTAAAATTGAATTAGATTTTGAGTTGAAATAAAAGTGAATGAAATAATTTGTAAACAATCAAGTCTTAAACTTTCTGAAGTTGCAATCAAGCCCATGCTACTTATCAAACTCACAAATCACAGCACTATATCAAAAAATTATGCAAAAATTTACAGCCACCACGTTCATCACATGCCGACCACTATGACCTCTGCCGACCACCACGACCGTCGCCGACCACCATGTCTCACATGTCACAGCCATATACACTGTCGATGGCGAGTCAACCGTGATGTTCAACTACTTCCGTTGACCCAGCAGACACTGTCGACGGCTGGCCTACGTTACGAGTTGTTGGTTTCTGCCGGAGGACCGTCGCCCATCTCCGATGACGGCTGCAGTGGACCAGCGACGTGGATGTGAAGCCACAATTGGCAGGATGAGTAGGCAAGGAGAATGGGCTGGGAGGTGCGGCGGCCGGGCTGGGGAGTCGCGGCGGTAGAATCCAGTGTCGTGCGGCCATGTTGGTTATACACGGCGGTCGGACTATGCAGGTGGGGCGGCCGTCGGACGGGACGAGATGAGACAAACTAACCAAAATTAGAGTTTAGTATACCAAAATTAGAGTTTAGTATCAATTGAAAAAATAGAATTTTATCACCATTTTTTATTCCATAATCTTTAAAAATCGAGTTCGTCTCCCTCAAATGAAAAAAAATAATAATAGCGGCAATTCTCTCTTCTCCATACATCTTGGGCATTACTATTTACCGCTCTCCTTATTACTAATCACCGCCCCCTTGGACGGTTTTGCCCTTTAGTACTATCTCTCTCTCTACTCTCTCTCTCTACTTTTCCCTCTCGATTTTCTACGGCTCTTTTAGCCGTCAAAAATTTTTTAAAAAATTACCAAAAAAATACCATGACATCGGCAAGACATTAAAGATTGACCATGTATTTTTTTATATTTTTTTACTTTGTAAATAATTTTTAATTTTTTATTATTTTTTTTATCGCGTTCGGTCGGCCGGGCCGGACGCGCACAGTCCCGTCCAACCAGCCGGGCCGGACGCA